ATAATTTAATGAACATGTCTGTGTATTAAATAAGGATTCTCTTTGAATAATCTTTATGAATTGAAATTTGTGGTGTCACATTTTTGTTCAAAGTAAGTGGGTCATTGGTTTAGGTCTAGAAAACTTATTGTTATAAAAGCCTTTTAAAAATAGCCTGTTTTAAAGAACTAGAGATTCAGAGATTTGTATGATTTTCTTTTTTTTTTAACACCACCTGGCGCTTTCTTTGTCCTTTATAGCATTTTATTTTCAGCAATGTCTAAGACTTTCCAAATTACTGAGGTTAAAATAAGAATTACCACCCTAAAACAGAATTTAGTCCACTTGTCTGCAAAGGGCAGAAGACCTTCTATAGGGATAAACTTGTCCTCTATAAACCACCCTGACATGATTAAGGATTTGTCTCTCCTGCTCCAAATATCTGGGTTTCTTTGATTGTCTAAAATGATTGTCTATAAATTTGGTAACTGTTTACTGAATCTCTTGTTTTAATTCCTTAGCTCTTATAATAATGAACTCAGTTAAGGAAGAACAGCATGAGAACAAAATTGAAGTGTTTTAAAACATTTTTTATCAGTAGAGGTGGTGAGGGGCTGTTGTTGCCTTTTTTTAACTATCCCAAGTGAGCTTTTCCAGAAACTGAATTGGTTATAAAGAGCGAGGAGATCTAGCAACAATCTCAGGTTGAAAAGAAAGGAAAGAAATGGACCAGGAAAAAAGGGGAAATATTTTCTAAAAATATGCAATTTATGTTTTCTTGTTCACTTGATTTTTAGGTGAAGAGATATAAAACTTGCTTTCAGAAATGGAGACTGCTGGTTTTCTCAGCTGTGTGGGGGCATTGTCCACAGAAGTTTAGTTGCCCTGAAAATCCTTTTGAGCACTGAAGACCTCTGGGTGTGCCCCTCACTTTGGAAGGTAGAATGATTTATCAGTAGGTGTTGTGACAAAAAGCTGTGTGCACCAGCTTTCATGCAGCAGCTCACAACTTGGTCTGCCAATAACCCATTTCATAAAGCATTTCTAAATAAGGCCATTGAAAGAACTCACTGGTCCAATCCATTCATTAGAATGGTATTTTTACTAAGCAGAGTCTCCATGCATTGAGACTCATAGTGACACTGGGTGTTAAGTCATCCAGTACAAAACTTCCCAACCACTTACAGCTGTCTGTAGGAAAAGGGGGGGGGGGGACTTTCCTTTATAAATTTCAGTCTTCCTAAGAAGTCTAGTAAGAGTCATAGAACAGTGATTGCTAGGTTCCAGCTTAGGCAATTAAGATTTTATGCACAAAGCACACTGGCCATACTCACTCATTGGGGGTGCCCTTCTGGCCACAGAAATGGCCCTGGCTGTCCGTAGGATACGTTACTCTCCTGGCATCACCATTGGTCCAGGCTGAAGGAACAAGAAAGGATGAAAACTCTATCAGCAACATCTGGCCGAAGGCAGTCTGATCTGAGATATTAGAATGCAGCACTGCATCACACCAGTCTCTACCCTCAGCCACGGGAGATTATTGATTTTCTTCAAAGAATAATTTCTTAATGAAAAGTAAAATAAAATATGGATGAATCAGCCAGAAAGCACATTTCTCTTATTCTCTTAGGATTTGTCTGGGTTCTAGCCAAGACATGAGGTAATGCACTTAGAAAATGACATTTATTAAAATGCGAATTAGAGGGCACTACAAAAGCTTGCTTGGCTAAAACACACTTTTTGTAGCAGAGCTAATAAATTTACAGGAAATAACATGATGCAATACTTTTGGGTAATACATAAATGAAAACCACTTAAAATTAAAAGAAATGAAACTAAAATGCCCAATTCAAATTGATGAGTTCTGTATAGTTTCATGCAACATTATAAAGGCAAACAGTAGCAACTGCAGAGGTAATACATAATAAAGATTTACCAGATGTTTTGTCTAATAATCTCAAAGCTTAATACAAATATCGAGTGTTCTTGTATTTCACAAAAATTGAAGACTTGATTTGATTTACTATGAAGATGCTCTGACAAACATATCACTCCTTTTTTTTTCCAGAATTATAAACTTGATTTGACAGCTATACTATAAAAACCACAGAAAGTAATATCTATGGACTAGATTGGGTCACGCTCTTTAATTCTAGGTGAGATTTTCCTAATGTTTCCAATTTGAATATAGTTCCTAAACATTTAGGAAACACATTGGTCTTCTAATGCTTTCCTATGCATATGGAAATATATCTCTTTGTCCCTTGCTTCTTTTAACATTTGCCCAGCTATCTCTTACCCACATTTATTGGATTTGACAGTTTGCGTTATAATTCTATCACCCTTATGAACACGGTGGTGTGACTTGGAAAGATAAAAAAAATTCTGAAGGAGAATTTTAATATGAAAGAGGAGTTTTTCTCAATGTTTTTTTCTCATCAATCCAAGCTTTTCTGTTCATGTTCAGTATCTAAGTACCCAGAAAAGCCTCTTTTGTCTAATTCTTTACCCACTGTCACACAGGCCAAATCGGTGTCATTTATTAATACATTCTTATGAAATCTGACTTATTCAGGCAGCTCTCTGCTGCCATATCCTCCCGTCTTTACTTCCCAGAATAAAGAAAATGGACTATAAATAAAGGATTTAAATGACATCTAAGTGTTCAATATATAAGGTCCCTAGACACTATTTTATCACAATTTCTTTCTAAACCTTGCTTTGTCATATTTTGACTACACCTAAGAAAGAGACCTAATTTTATCTGACTCTATTTTCTGAAATCCTTATTCTTTATCTTTATTCTAAATTGTTTTTAGAATAAAAATTAGGATAAAAATTCTAAATTTTTATTCTTTTCCTATATAATTGTTAATTCAGAAATAGGCACCTATAGAAGCATTGGTACAATAGGTTATTATTAGTGCTAATTATTATAAACATCCCTGCAGAAATCAGTTATTTTGAGTCTTGGTTTTCTAATTTGTTACTAAAATATGAGTAAAATACCAAACCTGTAAAAACATTGAAAATAGGAAAGAAGATAATGAAAATGGGATACTTAATATGGTGCTCAGCATCCAATATGGACTTAGTAATATCAGTTCTTATCTTTTTTGAGGTTCCCCCAAAGCAAAATCTGAAATCAGGTCTTTGATGCAGGTAGTTTATTTGGGTGATAATTCCAGGAAGCTTAAATGGGTATAAGGGAAATGATTCAGAGAGCACAGTAAGGCCAGTCCAGGGCACATTAATGAATGAGACACTGTGGTGGGCAGTTGTGGCCACTTGCCCTTCTAGAAACTTCCATGGGACCCCACAGAGTATAGCTGTTAGGGTCACAGAAAACTGCTCATCGCAACTGCAAACAAATCCAGATAGGTTAAGGGGAGCTATCAGTAGCATCTGCCACAGTTTCCCCTGTTTCATTAACAATCAATCAATTAATGAAATTACTAAATAATCATTATGTGCTCTGTACTAGAAATTAACACTGGTTTATGTCAGAGTTCTCAAGAAATATATGAAAAGAGAGAATAAAGTTTGTAGAAGTCTTAGAGAAAAGGTGGAACTTAAGAAAGCCTACTAAGTTGTTAGGATTTGAACATGTATCTGATAATGGGGAGAGAATTACAGGTTAAAGAAATAGTGTAATCAGAGCTTCCTTGCATTAACTGCTTACAACATGTCATGGGTTGTGCTACGTTTATTACACCCACTGCTTCACTTGACTCACATTATTAGTCTCACAACAACCCTAAAAGGCATTATTTTACCTAAGTTTCCTAGGCAACTGTGGCTCAGAATTTAATTTACTTTTCAAGATTCCACAGCTTTTGAGTGACATAAACAGGCCTGAAGGCCTGTGGTTTTAACTACTAGACTACAGTGGCAATAATATTGCCTGCCAAAGGTTGGATTAGGAAAGAGCTTACTAACAGCGGGGAACAACAAGGACACTGGCTGAAGGAAGATCAGCAAATGCTGGATGCGTCAGGAAAGGTGATGACACTGGCAATTTTGGAGCCCTGTCTCTGGGAGAGAAGAGCTTTGTGCTTATCAGGGAGAGGAGATGTCTTGGCGGGGATCTGGAGATTGGTGGACAAGGGAGGGAATGAAGATGGAAAATTTGAGGGAAGCACTCCCCTTGGCTTTACTGGTTTGGAGTTGGGGCAGGTGGTCACACGGACGGAGCAGCCTCCAGCACAGAATCTGCGCTGCAGATGGTGTGCGTTTGAGTGAGAACGTCAAGACTCTGAGCTACGAAAAAGAGGAGCAAAAAGAGATGTGCAGCAGCACTTTGCCCTTGTTCATAAAGGAGCATCACCCGCTGTACTCCCTTTCTGGGAATTTCTCTATTGAGAGGACTTCTACAACATTACTGTAGCTATTAACCATGTCTATTGAGCCCTTGAAATGGTTTATCAGAATCAAGACATGCTGTAAGTGCAAAATGCATGCATATTTTAAAGGCATTATGAGCAACTATAAAAGAATATATTAATAATTTTTATATTGATTCACTTGAAATAATATTTAGTCAAATACAACATATTATTAAATTGCTAGTAAAATTAATTTCACCTGTTTTTTTTTACACTGTTAAATATGGCCACTAGAGAATTTAACATTATTCATATTATATTTCTCCTGGATAGGGCTTTTCTAGATTACTTCCCCACAAATGACAAGGGGTCCTTATATAAGATGATTAACAGTGCCATAACACCAAAGATTTGTATGATAGTCATTCTCAAACCCATCATAACCAACATATCATTTTTATGACAGATATTTTACAATACTCCTTTTACAATCTCGAAAAAAAGTCACTGATAACATAACTTACACGTGAAATTTTATTAAAAATTCAATATAATGCCCTATTGTAATGTAAATGAGAAATAAGCAATTTATAATTAGGTAGTATGTACTTCGGTAGGCAAAAGCTTACATGGGACTAAACTAGGAGACAAAGTAATGAAGTCAGGTGTTTAAACCTTTAGGTAGAATCTGTAAAAGTCATAGATACAATTGCAAGAGGATGTACTAGATACACTGTATCAGAAATTCAAATCCTACAAGTGGTGTGGGCAGTAATAAGATTTTCTTAAATGAACAAATTTTAGTAAATTCTAACAAAAAAGCATGGAGGGAGAGGAAGAGAAGTGAGGGAAAAGAGATGTGGAAAAATTGCAGGAAAAAATTTATGAAAATAGAGCTTTTGCAAATGGGAAGAGGACTAAGAGTTAGAAGGAACAGGGAGGGTAGGGAAGAGTAGAGAAAAAAAGAGAATAATTAAGATGTATAATGTACGTGTACCAAGTCCCCGTGATAAATGTGATCATTATGTATTGCTCACATATACTGATAAAAGAATAAGAAAAGTAAAATCTTTCAAATTCCAATGGTATTTATTAAAATCATATGAAAACAACTTAGCAATTTTAATATAGAAGTTCAAGTTTCAAATATTTTAAAACAAATTTATATATATACATTAGTGAGACATAAGAAAGCCAGGCACAATGTAGAGTAATTTGGATGTGAAGAATTGTTCAAAATATTGCAAGGTATCTATCTTTCCTCATTTCTACCACTGAATTTAAATGTTAATAGTACTCCATCCTAACAACATTACAATCAAAAAGTCAACTCAGGAGCTGCACAGGCACACAGGCTCCCACCCGAGGCCTGCCATTCCCTCCCTAAGTGCGGGCAGATCCCAGGGAGCAGTTGTGTGGCCCAGACCAGTGCAGCTGCAGGCGGATCCCAGCCTGGGCTCCACCCTGAACCCAGAGGCTCAGGCACACCTGCCCAAGCCAAAAGCCCCCGCAGAAAGGGGCTGCACGGGCAAACGGGCTTCCGCCAGAGGCTCACCATACCATTGGCAACAGCCAGGGACCTATGTGGAGAAGAGCTGTACAGGCACACAAGCAATACCCAGAGGCTCACCCAATACCATTGATAAGTGTGAGGAGATCCTAGCCAAAGCCTGTGCAGACAACAGAAACTGGAGTGCACAGCTCACAACCAAAGGCCCTTCCAGACAATAGCTACATAGGGGCCCCAGCAAGAGGCATGCCTAGATACCATCCCAAGTGTGCTCAGGCCCCAGCCAGAAGCCCACCCAGACAACAGGTCAGCTAAGGGATCTAGAAGGCCACCACTCTGAACCCAGGAATTGGTGTACTGGTCAGCAGCAGAGTAAAGGCTGCTCAGTGGCTTGTTGAGAATTCAATACAATTGGGTGAGCAAAAAGTTGTCTCAACAAAGACACAGCAGGCTGCATGTGTTAAAATGAGAAGACAAGTAAATAAGTCCCCAAATCAGACTTCCAGATCACCTAAGGTAATCCCAAAGGGCAATGAGATGGAACAATCTGATACTCAACCACCTGGACTCCCTGAACTGGCAAC